GAGAAGGAGAAGCTTATGCAGTGGGCGCCTCTCATCGCGACGGGCCGCGACAAGAACGAGCCGATTTGCATGACGAAGGTGCGGCCGCCAGATGCTCGGTCTCTGCAGTGTGGGGGGGGGAAGACTCTGCCCCGACGATGACGACGATGATGAGGATGCTAATGCTGATGCTGATGGTGATGGTGGTGACGATGATGATGGCGTCAATCACCATTATGAGGATGGTGATGGTGATGGCGATGGCGATGACGACGACGATGATCGCGATGCTGATGCTGCTGCTGATGATGATGCGGATAATGATGACGCTGACGATGCTGATGCTGCTGATGATGCTGATGCTGATTGTGATGATCATGCTGCTTATGATGATGCTGATGATGATGCTGACGTTGCTGATGATTATGGTGACGGTGGTGGTAATGTCGGTGGCCATGGCGGTTCCGATGATGGTGATTGTGGTGGTGGTGATGATGATGATCGTGGTTATACTGAGGTTGGTTGTGACGATCATGATGAGGATGTTTAGGATGGTGCTGATAACGATGACAATGACGATGCTTGCGTTGGTGTTGGTGGTTATGGCGACGGTGGTGATGCTTACGAAGGCAAGCGTCTATGATCACGGCGTTGACGATTGTGATGATGCAGCTGCCGATGCTGTTGCTGTCGCTGCTGCTGACGACGACGATGATGATGATGATGATGCTGATGATGATGAGGAGGAAGATCATGATAATGAGGAGGAGGATAATGAGTGATAAGAAGTTGTACCTGGATGATGATGATGATGATGATGCTGCTGCTGCTGGTAATGACGACTACGATGATGATGATGATGATGATGATGATGAGGATGAGGGTGCTACTGATTACGATGATGCTGCTGCTGCTATGATGATGATGATGCTGATGATGATGATGGTGATGATGATGGTGATGAGGATGCGGCTGAGGATGATGATAATGCTGACGATGGTGATACAGGTGATGATGGTGATGATGATGGTGATACAGGTGATGATGGTGATGATGATGGTTACCTACCGCCCGAGGTGAGATACGGCACCGACGTGGACTTCGGAGCTCTCACGAGGGCACAGATGGACTCATTCATGCGCCTGGGCGGGGACCTCCGCCTCTTCACCACGGTGACGGACCTCAAGAAGGACACCTGCGGAAAGCGGGAGAGAGCGGGGTATCCGAGGGGAGGAGGAAGAGGAGGAAGAGGACCAGTGCAAATCCAAGTGTCATCAACGATGTTGGAATGAACCCTCCCTCCAAGCTCCCTCTTCGTAGGCCCTATACAACGGTTCATTTCCACTGAGGGAACTGCCTCGTTGGAAGACAACCGTGTAAAGATCCTGAAGCGAGCCAAAAACATTGCTCTCGGGATTTCAACGCCACGTATAACCTGACTGCTGCGTCTTAACGATTCGGAATCGAGACAGAACGCCATTTTCGAGACTTCGACACCTCGAATCAACACAATTGTTGCGCCAGAATAGTCCCGAAGCCGTCCAGAACACCATTTCTGGTTTGTGATCATGGGATTCCGTGAACGTTTACACATCTTTCAAACGAATGTGCGCGGCGCTAAGGCGAGAGCCACACTTTGAAAAGGAACCGCCTTCAACCCGTGAAGCCCTTGCAAATTCTTCAAACAAATGTGCGCGGCGCTGAGGCGAGCGCGCCACATTCTGAAAAGGAGCCGCCCTCAATCCGTGAAGCTCTTGTCCATATTTACAACGAATGTGCGCGGCGCTGAGGCGAGAGCTACATTTTGAAAAGGAACCGCCCTCAATCCGCGAAGCTCTTGCAATTTTTTAAAACGAATGTGCGCGGCGCTAAGGCCAGAGCCACATTTTGAAAGAAACCGCCCTCAATCCGTGAAGCTCTTGCAAATGTTTAAGACGAATGTTCGCGGCGCTAAGGCGAGAGCCACATTTTGAACGCGACCCGCCCTCCATCTGTGAAACTGTTGTCACTTGTTTAATCTTCAGAGTCATAAATGGTGAGGGAGTCTCAGGCCCGGCCCGCCCTGAAAACTAGCCTCGGGGTGCGACAGTCAATTTTCCCATAAGGAGAAGGAATGTAGGTGGATTGTGATGACGATTGTGACGTGGAAGAGGACGAGGTGGATGAGGACGAATGACGCTTAGGATAAGGTGGAGGCGGATGGTGGGGATGATGAGGAAGGTGATGGTGATGGTGATGGTGATGGTGATGATGATGCTAATGATGATGTTGCTGATGATGATGATGATGTTGATGCTGATGATGAGTATGACGATGCTGCTGATGAGGATGAGGGTGAATAGTAATAGTAAGAGTACCGATAACAATTGTCAATTACCCCAAACAGTGAGATGATGCATTTCGGATGTGTGAGATCTGTAGTGTGATCTGTGAGGTGTGATCTATGTGGTGTCAGCTGTGAGGTGTAAGCTATGACATGCAACATCTGTGGGGCAATCAGTGTGCTGGGAGCTATGCAGTGTAATTAATGTGGTGCAGTCTATGTGGTATGAGCTATGTGGTGCAAGTTATGTGGTGCTTTTTCGTGGTGCAATCGATATATGTGGGGTGAGCTATGTGGTGTAAGCTATGTAGTGCAATCCAAACTTCAGTGGTGCAACACATGAGGCGTTCCAGAAACGCCCTTGCCTTCGAGGATCGAAGAAGTTGGCATCTTTTCCTCAGCGGAAGGCGGCAGAAGGACGGTAAGGCTGCGGAAGTGCAACGAGGCCGCCTCCGCTGGCGGAAGCCTGCGGAAACAGGCGGAAGCAGGCGGAAGTACAAGATGCGCCCCCAAGAGATGACAACATTTTTGGTATCAGGGTCTCGGGAATCGGCCATATGCAGTGCAATCTTTGTGGCGTGAGCTATGTGATGTAAATCCCACCAGCCCTTTAGGGCGTGAGTGGTTTAGATAGTCCTCTCTGTTCTCAACCCCCTTCTTCCCCTTCGGGGAGGGGTTTACCCCTCCCCCTCCCCCCTCCCCCTGGGCCTGGAGAGGGGGGGCCGCGGGTCGCTGGGGCGTCCTTTGTCGGTCCCTGGGAGGCTCATTTTTTGACACTACTCACAGGGATCGTGGCCCCAGGGGGGGGGCAAATTAGTGTTTTCGTCTTCTTTGACCGATCTCCTCCAAGATGGCCCCAAGAGCGCTCCCAAGGCCCCCAAGAGCGCTCCCAAGACGGCCCAAGAGGGCCCCAAGACGGCCCCGAGAGCGCCCAAGTGGCGCCCAAGAGCGGCCCAAGAGAGCCCCAAGCGGCTCCAAGACCGCCACAACACGGCTCCAAGTGGCCGCGGAGCCTCCCGAGGACGCCCCCGAGAAGCTAAGACGGCCCAAGAGGTCCCCAAGACGCTCCAAGAGAGCCCCGAGAGGCGGCCTAAGAGGGCCCCAAGAAGCCACAACCATTGATTTTCCGTGGGCGTTTTAAACATTTTAGCGTTCCCGCCCTTTCGGCTTCCCGACGCTCCAAGACAGCCCAAAAGGCCCGCAAGACCGCCCCAAGACGGCCCAAGAGGCTCCCAAGACGGCTCCAAGACAGAGGGCCCCAAGACGGCCCAAGCGGCGGCCAATCCGGCCCAAGAGGGCCCCAAGACGGCCCCAAGAGCGCCCAAGAGGCGCCCAAGAGCGGCCCAAGAGAGCCCCAAGAGGTTCCAAGACCGCCCCAAGACGGCTCCAAGTGGCCGCGGAACCTCCCAAGGACGCCCCCGAGAGGCCAAGACGGCCCAAGAGGTCCCCAAAACGCTCCAAGAGAGCCCCGAGAAGCGCCCTAAGAGGGCCCCACGAGGCCAACATCATATGTTTTCCTGAAGTATTTCAAACATTACCCCAGTGCGACCCTACCTAGAAGTTGGACCCCCTAGGAAAGCAGCATTAGTTGCCATGGTATGCTATGCTATGCCATGCTATGCTGCGCTATGCTATGCTATGCAATGCTATGCTATGCTATGCCATGCCATGCCATGCTATGCTATGCTATGCTATGCCATGCTGCGCTGTGCTATGCTAATATATGCTATACTATGCTAAGCTGCGCTATGCTATGCTATGCTATGCTATGACATGCTATGCTATGCTGCGCTGTGCGATGCTATGCTATGCTATGCTTGGCTATGCTATGCTATTCTATGCTATGCTAATGCAACGCTGCGCTATGCTAAGCTAAGCTAAGCTAAGCTAAGCTGAGCTAACCCTCTAGGCAGAGCCTAGGTAGGGAATTACACCCATGCTAATGCTTTGCTTTGCTTTGCGTTGCTTGTGCTTTGCTTTGCTGTCGGTGCTGTTGCTTTGCCTTTGCTTTGCTGCTATGCTATGTATGCTCTGCTATGTTATGCTATGTTATGCTGCGCTATGCTATGCTATGATGTGCTGTGCTGCGCTATGCTATGCTATGCTATGCTATGTTATGCTATGCTATGCTATGCTGCGCTATGCTATGTTATGCTGGGCTATGCTATGATATGCTGTGCTGCGCTATGCTATGCTACGCTATGCTATGCTGTGCTGTGCTCTGCTATGCTCAAATTCAGCGAAGCTAAGATGAAGGTAAGCTAAGATAAGATAAAGCTGAGCTAAGATGAAGCTAAGCTAAGCTAAAACGAAATAAGCTAAGCTAATATGAGATAAGCAACGCTAAGCTAAGGGGACGTAACTGGGGGAACCGCGGGGCGGATACCGGGGGAACCGCCCGGGGCGAGCCCCACTGCCCGCCCCTTTAAGAAAGAGAGTAAGAACCTTTCTAGGCAGAGCCTAGGTAGGGAATTTTAGCGTTCCCGCCCTTTCGGCTCCCGACGCTCCAAGACAGCCCAAAAGGCCCGCAAGACCGCCCCAAGACGGCCCAAGAGGCTCCCAAGACGGCTCCAAGGCGGCCCAAGAGGGCCCCAAGACGGCCCAAGAGGCGGCCAATACGGCCCAAGAGGCGGCCAATACGGCCCAAGAGGGCCCCAAGACGGCCCCAAGAGCGCCCAACAGGCGCCCAAGAGCGGCC